CAAAGTACCTATTTAATAGGTTGGCTTTTTCCTGGCGTCAGTTGTCAGTTGCCCCATCTGGTTCTGCAGGGGTCCAATGTTGCCCCTGCTTTTCCTCCGGCTCCCCACATATCTGAAAAAGGACTTTTTATTGTCCTTGATGCTCAAAGCTAGTTGGAGTTCAGTTGCAGCCTTGGCTTTCCTGGTTTGCTCCCTAAAGAGAAACCAAGCAACACTGAAGACTGCTCCTCCCCCTTATTTGAGGGGCTAGGACCTATTTAGCTTATATTAAGTGACTCATCTGGTTTGTATGGGCATATCCAAACTAGCTAGCTGCCCCAGAGGTAGTGTGAACAATATAGTTGCTAACTGTTTTAAAACTCTCCTAGACATCTAGATAAGTGGTTTTCAACCATTTTTGTAGCAGGACCCATATGTAAACATTAATGGCCGGTCCTGACCCACTGCCCCTGGCCCCAGTCTCCGAGTGTGTGTGGGTTGGAGGTGGGGGGGCATGAGAGACCCAAGCAACCCCTCACAGGCTGGAACTCTGCCAACCTGAAAGGGAAAAGCCATAGTTTCCCATATTGTTCTCTTCCAAAGAATTCATTTTTAAAGTTTGTTTGCAACCCTTTCATGTAATTTTGCGACCCACAGGTTGAGAAACATTGGTCTAGATGAACTGTAGCCTATGTATTCCTGCAGGCTGTATTTTCAACGTAGTGGCACTGGCAGATGGCTTATAATGCATTGTATGAAGTATCTTTTGCATATAATCAATGAAAAACAAAAACCCTTTCTGTGAAGAGCTGCAGGTGGTAAATTGAAAAGCCACTTGTTTGGTGGTGTGTTGTAGATGTCTCACAGCGTTCTAAACTTTTTGTGTCTTCAGACTCTTAGAAGGGTCCCTGCTACAGATCCTGAAAGACAGCTGTTCTGCCATGCATTTTATCAGGAGCCAATGGATGTACACTCATTTGGTCTCCATTGAGGAACAGCTAGATGGGGTCATATGCATAGGATGATTGTCTTGTTTCTTCACCAGTGGACTAGCAGATTACCTAAGCAGACATTTTTTTCAATCACCTAGAAGAAATATCCAAACTACCCCAGAACAGGTTCTCTTGAGGGTGTCAGTTTTATTTTCTGATCACAAGAGCTTCTCTTGGCTCTTTTCTTATCCTTGTAATACCCAAGATCATGAAAATCAGGGCCGTGTAGTCACACTTATAGCCTCGTATTGTTGAGAATATTATCAAAAAACATTTTAGATGAATGCATGAGTGAGTGAATGAATATGGTATCAAGCATATCCAGCCTACTGAAAAAGCAGCCTTGAGAAAAACAAACAAACCATCTACAAGAAGATAAGGAGCAAGCAGACACCTTGTCTCCCCTGTCAGGATGTTGTAAATTGAAGTAACTCCTTACCATCTGCATATCTAAGCCATGAGGTATGACTAGAGTCAGCTCAACAGCAACAAGGTGATTGGCTAAGCAGGTTGTCAGGCTCTGCAGCAAAGTCTGCCTAAACTAAGTATAAAAGAACAGTGAAGACC